GTTTGGTTAATTGAAATAAGAATTAATTGTGAAAATGAATAATTAGATAGGTGGATAAGAAAAGAACCTAATGTTTCGTTTTCTGTAAGTAGTGGTAAATTGTATTGTGAAAGAAAAAGGTTGTAGCATGTGTTGTGTGTTAAAGTTCTGTTTGGGTAGTTGTGTATATTTGTATTCAATAATTTATATGCATTAAATGGTTTGGATGATATTGGTAAATGCATATTGAAGTTTGAATCTCCTAAGGCGCTCGCCGTATTCCCGGCTCTTACGGATGCGGAGGATACCAGAGTCTACTCTGTGCGTTGAGTCTGACCGTCATAAAATGTCTTGTGAACTTGCACGTATTGAGATGCTTAATATTTTAAAGAAACCCGATATAATGATTCTTTATAGCAATTCAACAGAAGATTTTAAAACATCAAATCGTTGGATGTCTGCATTTATAAAAAGATATCAACTATCTTGGTGGCGATGTACTAAGGTTTCACAAAAGCTTCCTTCAGAAACTGATGAATTATTGAAGAAATTTCACCAAGTGTTATCCGTCTTAGAAAAAGGAAATCTTTTAAATTATCTAATATTCTTAATATGGATGAGACTCCTGTCTGGTTTGACATGGTTGGAAACTTTACTATTGATCAAAAAGATGAAAAAACAATTTATATTTGTAGAACTAACAATGACAAAAATCGATTTACAGTAGTTTTAACATGTGCTGCGAGTAGAATTTTTTTTTTTTTTTTTTTTTTTTTTTTTTATAATATTCTTGGCATGGTTACTATATTTTTTTTTTTATTTAGATGGAATGAAGCTTCCTTCAATTTGCATTTTCAAAGGTAAATGATTACCATGTAGTAAAAAAATTCCATCTAGATCATTGCTTAGTTTCAAGATAATAGATAGATGAATTCTGACCTGATAATACAATACATTAATTATATTATTGATACACAAACTAATAATGGGTGTGAAAGTCCAACGATGATGATATAGATTCTTTTAAAGGGTACTTAGAAGATTCAGTTAAAAAAAAAATTTCATGACAATGGTATTGATTTAGCTATTATTCCGAGTGGTTTGACTAGCATTTGTCAACCACTTGATATTGCAATTAATAAACTGTTTAAAGACAATCTTCGCAAAGAGTGGTATCTTTGGATGGCAAAAGGTGGTGCTAGAAAAACTGCAGCTGGAAACCTTTGACGTGCTAGAATAAGCAATATATTTGAGTGGGTAAAAAATTCCTGGGAACAAATACTGGATGATATTATTATTAAATCTTTTATAAAATGTAGTATCTCAAATGATTTAAATAATACCGATAGTGATAGATTAGAGGATTCTGATAATAAATACGAAAATGACAATATCAAAATCATAGATATTAGTAAAGACGATGAAATTATAGATATTGATGAGGACGATGAAATCATAGATATTGATGACGATGATGAAATTATAGATATTATAGATATTAGCGA